TTTGAAATCTTCTATTCAACTCTTTAGTATCTTGAATTCTTCCCTGTGCTTTGGCTTCTCTGCGCTCCAGTGCAATTTTCAGAGTCTCTTCTGACGATATCATTAATATCACATGCAAGGAAGATTCTGCTGAAGATTATCCAAAAACGACTGGAACAGCACATCAATGGGGAAATGCCAGAAGTGCTGTCTGGGTTTAGAAGGGGTCGTGGTACTAGGGATATTGTAGCTAATGTACGATGGATGTTGGCTGAAAGCAGGGAGTACCAGAGGAATGTCTGTGTTTCACTGACTATATATACAAAGGCATTTGATTGTGGGACCATAATAAACTGTGGCTGACTCTGAGAAGAATGGGAATCCCAAGACACTTCATCGTGCTTATGTGACTCCTTTCCTTGGACCAGGAGGCAGTCGTCAGAACAGATCAAGGGAACACTGCATGGTTCAAAACTGGAAAGGGTGTATATCAGGGATATGTTCTACTTCCATACCTTTTCAATCTATATGCAGAACAGATTATCTGGGAGGCTGGGCTGTATAAGAAGTGTGGACTCCCGCCTTGGGCCCTGCGCCCCCCACCGCCGGGCCCCTATCATCATGAAGAAATTCTTCCAAGCCATAAAGGCTGACATCAAATTCAAGAGCACGGGGCCCAGCCAGAAACTCAGAGTCCGTGGAGGAGAAGGCCCCCAAAGACAAGCCCAGCCAGCCATCCCTCAAGCTGTCCAGCCAGGGTCCCACCAATGAGGCACAGATGGCGGCCACTGCAGCCCTGGCCCGGCTGGAGCAGAAGCAGCCCCGGGCTCGGGGCCCCACCTCACAGGAGTCCATCCGGAACCAGGTGAGAAAGGAGCTGCGTGCAGAAGCCACCAGCAGTGGGAACTCAGAGGCTCCTGGGGACAACATGGTTCCAGACTCCAAAGAGGATGGTTCTGCCCACCTGGCAGTGCCTGGAGTGTACTTCATCTGCCCACTCACAGGGGCCACCCTGAGGAAGGACCAGCGTGAAGCCCACATCAAAGAGGCCATTCTGTCTCACTTCTTCATGGACCCAGTCGGGGCCTCCATCATGAAGATCCACACCTTCAACAAGAACTGGGACCAAGTGAAGCTGGGTGTGGACACCATCGGCAAGTACCTGGATAACATTCACTTGCACCCCCAGGAGGAAAAGTACCAGAAAATCAAACTGCAGAACAAGGTGTTCCAGGAGCGCATCTACTGTCTGGACGGGACCCACGAGTTCTTTGAGGCCATCAGGTTCCAGAAGGTGTCCCTTTCTGTTCCAGATCAGGAGGAGCCCGAGGAGTTCTACATGCTGGGCGAGGAAGCTCGGGCGCAGCCGCAGAGCCTGGAGCAGCACATGGTGCAGCTGCTGCGTGCGGAGCCCGTGCGGGCCCTACTGGACCGCCAGCGCCGCCTCTTCAAGCCCTCGGCCCTGGCGTCACACTTGGACTTGCCAGCGGACTTCTTCGCCCTGACCTCTGAGGAGCTCCAGCGTGAGCAGAGGCGGTGGAGCAGCTAAGAGTGCTCCGGACCAAGGCCATGCGGGAGAAGGAGGAGCAGCGGGAGATGCGCAAGTACACCTACACGATGCCGCGCGTGGGCCTGCCCGATGGCTGCCTGCTGCAGGGGACCTTCTACGCCAGGGAGCGGATCCCCGTGCTGTACGGCTTTGTGTGGGAGGCGCTGCAGAACGACTGGCTGCCCTTTGAGCTGCTGGCTTCTGGCGGCCAGAAACTGCTGGAGGATGAAAATCTGGCCTTCACTGAGTGTGGGCTGGTGCCCTCGGCTCTGCTGAACTTCTCGCTGGACGCCGCTGTGCTGGAGGACATGAAGGCCTCGGGCGCGGAGCTGGACTGGTGGGCTCTGAAGCCTGAGCTCCTGACCACCATGGAGAAGCTCTCATGAATAAAGCAGGATTGGCTCCGCCTGGGGTCAGTCTAGTGCTCCACCACAGCCCCCACGCTCCCCAGGGCCTCTGTTCAGGGCTGCAGCAAGAGATGCAGCCCCTTGCTTGATTTTGAAGGGATTAGGCTTGGCAAGACACATGCCTGTCCCACTGCCCTGAGGGGACCCGCCCTTCGGTAGCATTTGACCCAGTGTCCTCACTGCAGTGTACATGACTACAGCAGAGGCCCACGCGGCTAGGTCCTGGAGCCGTGTGTGGGGCAGAGGCAGCCCCAAGCGTGCTGCTCATAGCGGCAGGAGGGTAGTAGGGCCCGCTGGTGCACAGATCTGTAATTTATTCCTTAACTATGACAGAATAAACAGAAGATTTGAAGTTTAAAAAAAAAAGAAGTGTAGAACCAAGTTTGGAGGAAGAATCCTCAACAATCTGTGTTATGCAGATGGCACAACCCTGCTTCCTGAAACTAGGGAAGTCCTAAACTGACTGGTGCAGAAGGTCAAAGACTGAAGCCTTCAATATGGATTGAAGCTCAATATCAAGAAAACAAAAGATTCTCACCACTAGGCCTATTGGCAGCATCATAATGGATGGTGAAGAGAGATTGTTAACAGCTTTAGATTATTCCACAATCAACACTCTTGGCACCAGCAGCCAGGAAATTAAAAGACATATTGTGTTGGGAAAGTCTGCTGTTACAGAGACGTCTCCAAAGTACTGAAGAACAATGATGTCAGTATGCAAACTAAGGTGTGCCTCATACAGGCCATGGTCTTTGCAATCATTTGCTATGCATCAGAGAGCTGGACAATGATGAGGGATGATAGAAGGAGAACTGACATAAACAGTCTTCCAAGTATCTTGAGAAATCTACAACCAGGAGAAGATAAAATAGATGAATGGGACATTCTAAGAATCAAATCCCTATGCACATCCAAAAACTTCTCCAACAGGCTAAAAAGGGAAGCCACAGACTGGGAAAAGTACTTGGTAATGACATGTCAGATAAGGGACTTATATCTAGAATTTATAAAATACTTGAACACCACAATAAGATAAAGGTAAACAATCCAATTGAAAAATGGGCACAGGATTTGAACAGACACTTCACCAAAGAAGACATGCAGATGGCCAACAGGCACATGAAGAAATGTTCAACATCCCTAGCTCTAAGAGAGATGCAAATCAAAACAACTATGAGATATCATCTCACCTCAGTAAGAAAGCAAAATTTAACAGAACAGCAAGCAACAAATGCTGGTGAGGTTGTGGAGAAACTAGAACACTTATTCAGTGTTGGTGGAAGTGTAAAATGGTGCAACTACTGTGGAAGGCGGTGTGGTGCTTTCTCAAAAAGCTGCAAATAGAGATACCATTTGATCCAGCAATTCCACTACTGGGAATACACCCAAAGAGACCATAACTGCCACCCAAGCAGATACATGCACACCCATGTTTATTGCGACTTTGTTCACAATAGCAAGGAGTTGGAAACAACCTAAACGAATGGATAGAGAAGCTGTGGTATATTCATTCACACAATGGAATACTACGCTGCACTGAAAAACAAGGATCTCATGCAATCGTATTCAAAATGGGTGACCCTGGAGGACATTATGCTGAGTGAAATATCTCAGTCACAAAAGGACAAATACAGCATAGTGCCACTGTTGTAAAACAGAACTGACATCAGGGTTGGGGGGAGACTGAGAAAGATGGGATAAATAATGTATACTGCATTGAAACAAATGAGGGAGGACGCTATTTAAAAGGAATATGTGATTAGGTATTACTGTCATGACAGGAGTCCAGAATGAAGGCTGCATAGTGGAGTGGACTTGGGGGGGAGGGATTGTATAAAAATGAATTTTTCTTTTACTTTTCAAAGAGAAAAGCTAATTGGGGGGAGGGAGAAAGTGCAACAATGAATTAATGGAAATCCTCAGTCTCTATAAACTTTCATTAAAATTAATAATAATTTAAAAAAAAAGGAAAACTGATGCCTTTGAGCTGCGGTGCTGGAGTAAAGTATTGAATATACCATGGACTGCTAAGAGAACAAAGAGGTTCATCCTGGAGAGGGTTAAGTCAGGCTGCTCCTTGGAGGCAAGGATTCTGAAGCTTCGTCTAACATACTTTGGACATGTTGCAAGGACGGTCATGCTCGGCAGTGTAGAGAGACAGCACAGGAGAAGAAGACCCTAAATGAGATGGATTGATTCAGCAACTAGGGTTAACGGGGGCAGATGTGTCAGAGACAATAAGATTGGCACAAGATAGAGTAGGGTTTAGGGCTACTGCACACAGGGTCGCTATGAGTTACAGGCGACTCGACAGCACATAACAACAAAATATTCCAAGTAGTGGAGGAGCTGGGTCGTATGAAATTTCTATGTTCAGCTTTTTGAGAACGTGCCAAACTGTCTTCCAGAATGGCTATACCATTTTACAATACCACCAACAATGTATAAGAGTTACTGGGAGTAATGCCCAAAACCATAAAGTTCCTAAGAGACAAATTGGCATCCAGCTTAGAAGCTCTAGTCCAAGTTATAAATAGATTGTCAAACACAGCCAGAACTGCACAATCTGAATAGTATAAAATTGATGCATGGGACCTTCTAAAGATTAAATTCATGTGTGCATCAAAAACTTTTCCCAAGAGGGTGAAAAGAAAGCCTAATGACTGGGAACAAACATTTGATAAGACCATCTCAGACAAGAGTCTTACAACAACTGGGTCTTCACAAGAAAAAGAATGGTAACTCCGTTAAAAAATGGGCAAATGACATGGAAAGAATTTTCACAGAGGAAGATATTCTAATGGCAAACAGACACATGAAGAAATGCTCAAAATCACTGGCAGTAAGAGAGATGCAAATCAAAACCACAATCAGGTACCATCTCACTCTAGTAACAGTGGCAAAGTTTAATAAGGCAGTAAGAAATAGATGTTGGAGAGAATGTACCTAGAAAGCCCAACTCTTTTCAAATAAAAATACTGACAACCCATGGTCTCTGTCTCTGATCTCTCGTCTGCATCTGTTTAGCCCTCATCCTGCAAGACAATGACATGACCTCATGGAGGATAAAATCGATGCCTAAGGTAGCGGTTGAACCTTTCTGGCCTAGTCTGTTTGTAAAGGCCCTGGAAAATGTCAACATTGAGAGCCTCATTTGCATTGTGGGTGCTGGTGGACCTGCCCCAGCAGTGGGGGCCACACGGGCTGGAGGACCCGAGCCCTCCACTGCTGCTGCTCCAGCTGAGGAGAAGAAAGTGGGAAGCAATGAAAGAAGGATCTGAAGAGTCTGATAATGCATGGGATTTGGTCTTTTTTGACTAAACTCCTGTTGTAACGTCTTCAATAAAACAAAGTTGAACACTTTATTTTTAATAATAAGCTTTTTAAATTGTGATTTTAATGCTAGTTTACAGAAAGGTTGGATTTTCAATCATTCATTATTGCAAAAAAGTAGAAGTCTCAAAAAATAAACAAAAATACTGGCCTCAAGATTGCTTGTCATTCACTCAAATTTATAATTATTAACTATCTTTCCTTTCAGGGAGGTATGGTGACCTAGTGGGTAAGGAGTTCAAATCCTCCAGTGCTCCACAGGAGAATAACTTCCTCCCTTGCGATTCACAGCTTCTAAAAACCTGCTGGAGGGTCAAAAATGAGTCAGTTCCAAAGCAACGGTAATGAGTTAGCTTTATATGTCAGTCACTACGCTTAAAATTAAACTAATAAATGTGGGCAAAATATAATCTTTGTAAAATGGGAAGACACTATGTAATACAGCATGATAAATGCTATCGTGTCCAGGAAGCTGTGTGAACACAGACAGAGCCATTAGACTTAGCAGGAGAGGATGGTGGTAATTGCCAGAGGGGTGGCTTTCTAGAAGAAATGAAGCTCAAGTTGAATCTTAAAGCACAAATAAGCCATATTGAGAGGTGAAGAGGTTATAGATATTCTCTTTTGTCTTTTCAACTTACCTGTAGCTAAGTAAATAGGATGATTCTGGGCAGGGCTCCATGCCTGCATGGCAGTGCGATCTACTTCCTTGAGCTTCATCCTGCTGAAGAGAATATTACATATTGAATATACTGAACATGTAAAAGAGAACTCAGAAATGTGATTTACATGGAAATATACTGAACAAACCACTACAACATTAGTAACATCAAGGCACCAATAAACCAAAATGATTGTACTGTCTTTTGTCAGAAGTGCTTATTAAGAAAAATAAGAGAAAACTTATTTCATTCTTTTTAATGTTTATGTAAGTTATTTTAACTACTTACACAGTGTAATTTTTCAGTTAAAAATTCCTTTTGAAAAAAATCATAAAACAATACAGAGTAGTATATGAGGAATTAACTTTGCTATACAATGATCTTCTCAAACAAGTATGGGTGACAAAGAAGTTATATAATAAGTAAGGTACACGTTCCTGGAGCAGTTTTACTTAATGGAAAAAGTAATCTTAAATATCTATGTTAAAACAAACTTACCACAGAGAACATACTAAGTGCAAAGATTTTTAAGATAAAGCAGAAATATGTAGGAACTGTCACTTTAAGTTACAATGCAACATACTACTTATTTAGGCAGTCTCTTCTATTATGAAAATTACTTTGATGGGAAAATTTAAGAAACACTGTGTTTCCTAAATTTACACACTCAAAACTAATAATAAAAGATTATCTGGTGTCCAAGTCTCACTACATAGTACTGTCACAATTTTAGATTTTTACCAACATAATAAGTGAAAAAAAAATCACTGTGCAGTTACAATTTACACTGCTTTTACTACAATTAATGTTTGCATCTTTGCATATGATTATGGACTATCTACAGTATAAGATAGGGCAAAGTTCAGATGTGCTATTCAGAGGAGTCACTGTAAATTTGATGGCACCTAACAACAACAGAAACAACAGTATTTCTGTAACTAGTTTGTCATACTGTGGTGTCATGCATGTAGTTGTGCTGTTGAAAGATATGGCACTGTTATTTCAAATATCAGCAACATCATTCATGGTAGAAAGAAACTTCCAAAGACAGACAGACTAGTAAGGCCAATCCCATGATGTACTTCAAAAGAAAACTGTCCTGTGAGCACCTTCTTACAAGCAGCAGAACACTGTATGATACAGTGTCAGAAGATGAACTTGAGTTTAAGCACATTTAAAATACAACTGGATGTTCCTCAAAGTAAAGTCAAGCTTAATGATGCAGAAGGTATAAAGCTTTCATGATCTTCATTTGCTGACAAAGCACAACTCAAAATGAGAACAACTGTAAATATTTATTAATAATCAGAGCATGAAATGTAGAAGATGCTGTAAAAAATTAAATGGAGTATTTAATGATACTGTCCTAAGCATTAATGAGTTAAACGAGCTGGTACTGGCCATTCTGAATTGAACATGGTTCAATATTTCTATTGAAATCGTCTACTGTCAGGAATGACAAAGGGAAGAGGAATGATGGCACATTCATCACTGAAAAGAATGTTTCAAGATCTATTCTGAAATGTGAGTGATAGTAAAAGATAAGACAATGCAAAGTATTATAATGAAATGTGCAAAGGTCTGAAGTTAGAAAACCAAGACGGAAGAAAATATTTGTTATTTCTCAAGCTGAAAAAATGAAACAAAAAAATCCAATCCACGTTTGAGTTGCAAGACGGAACAAAATACTGAATTACACAAGAATCATTAAACAAAAAAAAAGATGAAAGGAATACACAGAATCACTCTACTAAAAGAAATGATCAACATTCAACCATTTCAGGAGGTAACATATGGCCAAGAATTGATGGTATTAAAAGAAGTTTTATTGAAGGTGTTGGCAAAAGCTAAGTTCCAGGATGACAGAGTATCAACAGAGATGTTTCCGCAAAACGATATAATGCTACAAGTGCTCATTAATCTAAGCAAGGAAATCTGAAAGCAGATAGAAGGCCAACTGACTGAAAGAGATCCATATCTGCATTCATTCTAAAGAAAGGTGATTCAAAAGAATATAGAAATTAAAAATTATCAACAGTATAAAATGCAAGTAAAATTTTTCTTATGATAATTTAAAAAATTAAGTCACATCACCAAAGAATTGACAAAAATTAAGGCTGAATTACGAAGAAGACGCAGAGCACCAAGGATATCACTGCTGATGTCAGACAAATCTCGGCTGAAAGTAGAAAATAACTAGAAAGATGTTTACCTGCATTTTATTGACTATTCTAAGGGCTCTATGAGAAGAAATGTGGGGTCAAGATTGGCGGACGATCTACTAACAATCTGCGTTATGCAGATGAAACAACACTGCTTGCTGAAACTGAGAAGGACCTGAAGCGCCTGCTGCAGAGGGTCAAGGACTGCAGCCTACAATATGGATTGAGGCTCAATGTCAAGAAGACAAAGATTCTCACCACTGGACTAATTGGCAGAATCAGGATGGATGGTAAAAGAGATCGAGATTGTTCACAGCTTTAGTTTGCTTGGCTCCACAGTCAACACTCTTGGCACCAGAAGCCAGGAAATTAAAAGGCATATTGCAATGGGAAAGTCTGCTGTTAGGGACCTCTCCAAAGTACTGAAGAGCAACGGTGTCTCTCTGGAGACTAAGGTGCATCTGATACAGGCCATAGTCTTTGCAATCACTTGTTATGCATCAGAGAGTTGGACAATGACTAGGGAGGATAGAAGGAGCATTGATGCCTTTGAGCTGTGGTGCTGGAGAAGAGTATTGAGGGTACCACGGACTGTTAGGAAAACAAACAGATTTGTCCTGGAGAGGGTTAAACCGGGTGGCTCCTTGGAGGCAAGGATTCTGAGGCTCCATCTAACATACTTTGGACATGTTGTAAGGAGAGACCTGTCCTTAGAGAGGGACATCATGATTGGGAGGGTGGAGGGACAGCGCAGGAGGGGAAGACCCTCTATGAGGTGGACTGATTCAGTGACTGGGTTAATTGGGATGGGAGTGTCAGAGACAGTGCAATTGGCACAGGACAGAGCAGAGTTCAGGGCTGTTGTACATAGGGTCGCTATGAGTTGCAAGAGACTCGACGGCACATAACAACAACTAAGGACTAGGTGATCATAATAAGTTATAGTGAACATTATGAAGAAGTGGAATTGCAAAACACTTTATAGTGCTCATGAGAAAAGTGTACATACACAATGAAGCAATCTCAAACAGAACAATGGATATTGCATGGTTTAAAATCAGGAAGGACATACATCGAAGACTTCTCCTTTCACTACACTTAATTGGTATGTTGAACAAGTAATTTGAGAAGCCGGCCTTTATGAAGAAAAAAACACCATCAGTACTGAAATAAGGCTAATTAACCATCTATGACATACAGATGATTCACCTCTACTTGCTGAAAAGGAAAATTATTTTAAGTATGTACTGAGCTCTGCTAGCCCACAGGAAGCACCTCTCTGTTTTAATCTACCATCAGCTCCTTGAGATAAAGATGACCAGACTTTTCCCAGATGATTTAGAGCCTTCAAAAGCCCAATGGAGGGTCATCTATGAGTCAGTTCCAACTCAGTGGCAATAAATGATGAACATAAAAGACTCCAGTAGGGATTACATCTAATACACAGAAAACAAAATCTTCTCAATTAGACCAATAAGCAATTTCATAATAAACACATAAAAGTACTGACATCATAGAATTCATTTTTACCTGGATCCACTATCAATGTTCATGGAAGCAGCAGTCAAGAAGTCAAACATATTATATTGTACAATACTCATAACACTTCCTAAGTATCTGACAGTTAGACAATCAATAAGGATGACAGAGGAACTAATGCCTTTAAACTGTGGTACTGGCAAAGAATAATAAATAACCCATGAACTGCCCAAAATAACAAACAAGCTTGTCTTGAGGGAAACACAACCATGTTATTCCTTAGAGGTGACAATGGTTGTCAGGAAGGTCATTCCTTGAACAAGACATCATGCTGGAAAGGTGAGGGGTCAGTTAAAGAAAGAAATACCCTGAACAAGATGGACTGACGGTGACAGTAACAATGAGCTCAAGCATGGCAGAAACTGTAAAAAAAGGTATAGGATAGGGCATAGGTTCAGATACGTTGTTCATAGGGTCAGTATGAATCATAGATGACTCGATGGCAAATAACAATTTACTGTGCAAATCTGTTGCATAAAAACCCTCTTTTTACAGATGTTAACACTTCTTTTCTTATGAAACGTTTATTAGATGTTAACACTTTTAAGTGTTAAAAAACAAAGACATCACCTTGAGAAGTAAGATTAGCCTGATCAAGCCATACATAGCATTTCTAACTGCCTCACTGATGAGTTTGAATCATGACGGTGGTGAAGAATACTGAATATATCATTGGCTACCAACAAACAAATTATCTTAGAAAGAAGTACAGCTAGAAAGATCCTATGTCTAATGTGGATGGCCAGATTTTGTCTCATGTACTTTGGACATGTTATCAGAAGGGGCCAGTCCTTGGGCAAAGATTATGCTTGACCAGTGGAAAAAAGGAAAATGTAAAGAAGACACACTGATACAGGGGTTGCAACAATGGTCTGAAGCACAGCAGTGGCTGGGGAGTTGGGACAGAACCAGGCAGTTTCTTTCTTTTGTATACAGGGTCAATCTTAGTTGTAACTGACTAGATGACACCTAACAATTTAGTCATACTTATTTATATCACTGGCCCATTTTTCTATTAGGTTTGAGACTTTTCTATATATCTTGGTATATAGCATAAGTTTCTTTTTTTCTTGTTACAAGACTACTAAACGGTCCAGTTTTTTTCTTAATAATTTTAAATATTATCATTATCATGCAATAAATTCCTCTGTATATTTTATGTTTCTTTCTGAATTTACTATTTCATTCCTCAGGTTAGTCTGTTTACTTGCATATTTAGTAGAACATGGTGTTACATTTGTTCACACTGTCAAATGAATTTGACTCAATATAACCTCATGTCATAGAACAGAACTACCCCATAGGGGTTGTTCGTCTCTTATCTTTGCCTTTCAGCTACTGGGTGGGCTGGAACTGCT